CGGTGCCCCCGCAGTGGTGGTGGCCCCAGTGCCAGGGGACCCTGGCTGTGCCCCTGTGACGGTGGCCCCAGTGCCCAAGGACCCTGGCTGTGCCCCCGTGACGGTGGTCCCAGTACCAGGAGACCCTGGCTGTGCCCCCAGGCTGCTGGCACTGGTGTCAGAAGCCCTTGTCCTAGCCACAGGAGGCCCTGTCCGGGTGGCTGGCGCTCCTGGCATCCCTGCTCGTGTCCCCAGGGAGTCAGGCTGTGTCCCCAGAGTCCCCTCTCTGGGGCTGGGCTGGATCCCCGAGGCCTCAGCAGCTGCACTGGGGGGCTTGCCAGGGAAGGACCGGCCCGTTTTGGCCTCCTGAAAACAAAAGGAAAAGGGAAGCAAGGTTATGGGCAACCCCCACCTCCAGCTCGGCCGGGCCCTGCCAGCAGTGCCCCTAGCCCCAGCCCAAAACCACCTCTCAAGGAGCCAAACTCAGCAGTGTGCAAGTATTTCACGAGAGCCCAAGGCCCAGAGTCATTTCAGGAGGTGATCTGGGGGAATCAGAAAAAACCCTAGTGAATCCATCTTAAATAATGTCAGACTACTTTTTCTCTAGCGATGGGCTCGGTTGTCCAGGTCTGCTGGACCAGACCCATCTCCCTGCCCACGGGAGCAGCAGCCCAAGCGGGATTTGACAAACACCGAGTTCCTTGTGGTGCCAAATGCCTGATCTGCCCCTGCATCGCTCTCGACGGGAGGGTGGTGAGTGAGTGTCCTGCCCGGTGCCGAGCAAGGACACGAGCATTACATGGTCACCCCCAGGGGTTTCTGCTGCTTACTTGCCCATGAGTGGGCTGTCACAGGTTGTCCATGCAGCTAGGCCTTCAGGGAGATAACAGTGCCCTCTGCTCTAAATGTGGCCTTTTCTGAGCAGAAAACACACTGAAACTGTAAATTAGGAACGGAAGAGCTGCCCTGCACCCACCTTTGCCTGCATCCCATCTCTGACTGCGATGTGCAGGGAAGAGCAGGGCAAGTGCCTACCAAAGCCTCCACCAAAACCCTCCAAAGATGCATATATCACAGCCCCAGATGGATTTGTCTCCTGCGAATGTGTCCAGGTGCTTTTTGGCGCATGTAAACATTTAGTACATGCACCAGCCTGTGGCGAGGAGCTCCACTACCATGTGGTGGACGCAAACCACCTCCAGCTGCTGCTCTATACCTCCCAATAAAGTTGCTCAGCTCCATTCAGGATCATGCCCTGACACAGGTGAGCTGGGGTGTAGCTCTCTTGGAGGAGCCGGGGAGGGGAGAAGTGGAAGAGGGGAAGCTACAGGCACCAGCGAAGCTCCGGTTTGCAAAGCTGTTGCACGGGGACGCGTGCCACTGCGCAGCCGCGCTCACTGACGTACCATGTCCCTGTCCGGCCTTGCCTGGTCGCGGAGGAGGCCCGGCGGCTGGCTGGCAGCATCCCGGGGTGTCACCTGGACAGGGGCAAGGAGAGAGAGGCCTGTCAGGACGTGTGAGCGGAGGGAGGTGGATTTCAAGGGGGCACCTGCAAATTAACTTAGGCACAAAACAGAGAGACACTGTATAGCAACGTGCCTGGGGGAACGGGGCGGTGTTACACTGAGGAGATCCTTATCTCCCCTCCTTCCCAGCATCCACATGTTGTTTTAATTAAAAAAATACATTAGCGTCGCTTTGGTCAATACATGCAGGAAGGGCTCTGTGAACGGGACACGGTAACCCCCAGCAGCGGTCCCGTCTCTGCCCTCCGACAGTGCCAGGTCCCACGGGGTAAGTCAGCACTGGCGGACGGAGGGACGCGGGCTCCAGCCCTGGGCCAGGCGGGCTGCGCTCTGCCCTGGGCCTGGCAGGGGTGTCCTGGATGAGCTTGCGCTGACACCAGCTTGAGTCCCCACTTGGCAGCACGTGGGGCGGGTTCTCCAGGGAGACACCCCTTCCCCTTCCCGAAATGCTCCCGTGGGGCTGGGCTGAGCGCAGCGGTGGCGGAGCTACGTGGAGAGGCACAGCGATGAAGAAGCCGGCTCAGCCCCATCCCATGGGCTCCGGCGCAGGCTCACCAAGCCAAGCAGCTCCTTGATCCTTTGGATGTCCTCCTCCATGTGGAGCTGGATTGCCTTCACCCTGCTCATCTCGGTGAGGAGGTCCTGGAAGAGAGCCATGGCCTGGAAGGGAGAGGAGGTGCTGTGAGCCCAGCGAGGCCGCTCGGGAGGCAGCCAGGCTGAGTGAGGATGGCGATGGCTCTGCTCTCTCCTGATACCGGCCCCTTTACTCCCTCCTTCCGTTTGCAGAGAGCAAGGAGGTAACAGGGGGATCCGACCGGCCGTGCCAAGAGGCAGACCTGGCTAGGCTGGCCGACCCTGTATAGGGGGATTTACCCCACCGTCGAGAGCTGAGGACAGGGAGAAGGGAGAGCAGCTCCCCAGTGACCCCAGAACCCTCCCTGGGGGAACCAGGCACCAGCAGGGACCATTGCACAAGCCACGTCAGCAGGGACAAATCCAGACCTGCCTGCCTCTTGCCTGCCTGTGCCAGGCTTAACACAAGGCTGCTGAAGCTAATCCAAAGGGCAGAGAGACGCTGCCTCCCCCTCAAACGCAACCTGCCAGGGGACGACTGACTACCAGCAACCGCATCTACCGAAGCAAGAAGATCAAGCACAGACATGCTCCAAGGCCAGGTGAGTGCAGGAGCTGCCTGCTCCATGCCAGGGTCTCCCTAAGGTCCCACCACCCTTCTCCCTTTGAGGGCAACCTCCACACAGATGTGGCACTGGCATTTTCCTCCAGACACGCCAGCCCGTGGCTTGTTGGCTTGCATGGGTCTTGCTCTGCCCTCATTGCTGAAGGGTCAGGGCCACCACTGCCACCCCAGAGCCTTTCCTGAGGACTGGCTCTCTTCCTCTGTCAGATCCCCATCCTGTGGCCACTGGCTCACTCAATGGCACCTTCTACCTCCCGTGGCAGCATTCGAAGTCATGCTTAAATGGAGGAGATCATCTTCCTACTGTACCACCAGCAGCAGGGGTGAGTGAGCATGCTCTGGCTGGAGAAATGGCACTCATGGCCTCACTTGTCACCTCCTAACACTCGTGTCATGTCCTACACAGCCCAACGAGGAAAGGGTTTGGCTATGAGCCTCTTGGGAAGGGAGGATGCTACCAGCTCCGGGCTAAATACAGCACCGGATACCAACTTGGTGGGGGAACGGTGTGGTGATGGCACTGGAAAACCACCACAGAGGGCAACCTTGGGGGAAAGTCCACCTTGGACATCAGAGGTGACCGTCCAGCAACACATGGGGATTTGCTATTGGAGATGGGGACCATCAAGTGCTCACTGAGCCTCTCAATAACCCCCAAAGTAGACAAGGTACATTGCCTGCAGGTCATGGGGGAAATGGAGGGAAGGAGATTGTAGCCAGACTGAATCTTCAGAGGCGCTGAGAAACCCGTCCGTGGGAGTGAACGGGACCTACCCGCACTTGGCGCTTTTAAGAAGAACCGGATCAGACCCGTTAGGACTCTCTAAAGATAACACAGGAAGGACATGGTGCAACTGGAAGCAGCATTTCATTCCCATCTCTTCCTCCCTGAAACTCCAACCCATTCCCTCAGTAAAGCCCAACGCAACTCACAACACAGGGCCAGCTTGGATTTCACCGCTGCCACAAAGATCACAGAGATTATTTACCAAGGAGCATAATAGCTCCAAGGTCAAGGCAGGCTCGACCATCGCTAGGCAGAAGAGGAGGGATGAACACAAGAGCTCTTTATCAAAACCATGACAGACATCGAGCAGGGATGAGTCCTTCTCTGGCCCCCACTCTAATTCAGTAGCAGCAATCAAGGTCTTCCTTTACTGCTGCCAGGGAAATAATTGGCATAGAGAAGCTTTTATAACATTCCTGCAGCCAGGCAGAGACGTAACCAGAACCACATAACAGGCTTTTCTGTTGCTGTCTGTACTTTTCCCCTGGGTCATGCCTGGAAAATGAGTTAACTCACAACCCCAAGGTAAACCTCAGCACGTGAGATGTGTTGAGAGGCGACGAACAGGGGTCCTGGTGTTCAAAACAGTATTTCCCCTTCTCGTTGTTCAATTTAGTAACCTAAAATTGCTCACTATCAAAATGCCCCATTTCCCTCCAGCTACATGTGCTGACTTAATCTCCTAGAGGCTTTTGCTTAAGACTTGGAAAAAATGTTAGAGGGCTCTCGAGTTTTGCGAAATAACACGGGCTATTATTGATTTTCTGGGCAATCGAGTGGCAATCTCCCCCGGCCTCCCCAACACAGCCGAGTACAACTCATCGACATGGAACAGATCTTCAGGAAAAACCTGGTCTGTCTGTGTTATTGCCCAGCACTTCCGACATGAGCATCCCAAACCTTCGGTCAAATGAGGACGCCGAGTTCAGCGCTACACGGTGGGAGAGCCGGAGGGGGGAGGTGGCTCACCCCAAGCCTTGGAGATAAGTCAGCAACAGAGCTGTTGCTCTGGTGAGGTCTGGATTAGGCGAGGTTTTAAGGACAGTTAAACTGCAGCGTAGACCGCAGAGAAAGGAGAAGTGTCTTGTTGGGGGCAGATAAAGCATGAACTGGGGAGGATCGAGTGCCCTCACCCTGGTGCTTCCTGGACAGCCTTGCTGCCCAGGTCGCCTTAGCAGGGGTTTCTGGAGCTCTGTTTTGAGCAAGCTTTTACCTTGGAGACGCCGCTTTCATTAGCTTCAATCTTTTTCTTCATCTGCATCATCTGCCACATGTCGGCCACCACAGAGGTGGTCTGCGAGCTGCTCTTGGTCCTCTCCAGCAGGTCCATCCCGGAAGGCAACGTCTCCAGGGTGGCCATCTGCTTCTCCAGTTCCTGGAGCTGCTGGCCCATGCCCTGCAGCTGGACCTCCACCCCGTTCACTTTCTTCTCCAAGGTGGCGCAGAGCGCCTTCTCCCTCTCCAAGAGCTGGGCCCTCTGCAGCGGAGGCGCGGGCGCTGGGGGCGGTTCCAGGCTCTCCTCCCGCACCTCCGTCTTGACGTCCTGCAGGTTGAGGTGCTGCAGGATGGCGTGCAGCAGGCTGTGGAGGGCGTTGAAGTTGACGGCTCCGACCTCGGGCGTCCCGATGGCGAGGTCCGCCAGCTCGTACAGGCTGATCGGCGCCATGGCA